CTTGACTTAATGTAAGCCATTTCTTCAGACTTGATAAGTACACCTCGAAGTTTGTACTAAAGATTCTGACTTTGGTATTAGCTGACAGTTATTTTGAGTTTCATATGTTCTTCAACCGTAGGAATGTGGTTCCTGCTCTGCCAATCCCAGCCTCCACAACTGCATCGGATCCACTTTGTTCCTCGATGATGCTTCCCAGGTATGCGAAAGATTCCGCCTCTTTTAGGGCTTTGTAGACCATAATTCTACAGCTTCTCTATCGAGTGTGATTAGGTTAGTGGTCTCCGTGTTGCATTTAAAGATCTTGCTTTTTCATTTGTGTACGTTAAGTCCTACTGCTGCAGAGGCTGCTGCCACACCAGTTGTTTTCATCTGCATTTGTTGGTGTGTGGGGGATAGAAAAGCTAGGTCGTTTACCAAGTCCGAATCATCTAGTTGATTCGAAGCTGTCCAATTTATTCTGTTTTCTGTCCTTTAACTTCTGACCAGGTGGATTCAAACGTTCTAGTACGCGTTATATCATGAATCTAATCTATATTTATAACAAACTCAAAGACGCTTCGTACACTATATGGAATAGCGTACTTTGGAACAGCGTGATAAAACCTGGCTCAGTGAATTGTTTTCTTCAATAAGGCAGAAGATTGGAAGTCTTTTTCGCCACTCTGCTAGTCAACGAATTCCAATGCGATTAATGCCGACCTATTATACATCTGTTCAATGACTCTAGCATTTTCTTAAACGTGGTCCATGAACTGTGGGGTAGAGCCCTCCATAATCAAAATGACCAAGGTGTTAAAACTCATATAAATCAAAAGAATTAAAACCAACCGAACCCGAAGTCTTAAAATGATATGAAGATCATCGTTTCTTCCGTTTTGCTGTTCTCTCCAGCCGTTTACCTTCAAGACCTGACCACCTACAAGCAGATAAAGACACTGACAAATCAGGAGCCTTCAACGACAGACTGTTTCCTTTGTTCTCCTTAGTTTCAAAGGTCATGGAAAATCCGCAAAGAGTCTCTCGGTAAATCTTTATTCAACAACTCTTCTCCACCGAAAAAATTACGTAGCACTAGCCCGTCAACCACTTTTAATCTCTAGATCCTGTAGCTGAAGATCAGCCATCTTGTTCAAGCAGGTCTTCGAGACGTCTCAAGACATTCGCTAGTGTTAGTCATGGAATTCCGAACCCAAGGGGTACATTAGTGCGATGCGTAAGTGTTAAACAAAATGACCTATATATTACTTACGAGGAAAGCCACAGGTCAGAAGAATCCATTTAATCCATGTGCTCACTTTTCAATGACATACAGAGTTCAACAATAGCCCTATCTCTTAACCACTCATCTTTCTACCTTCTCATAACAACTTACCTGTTACTTTAGACTCGCATTCTCTGCTGTACTCAGATGATTTTTAGGTCTGAAAGAAAATTCTCAACCCAGTGATATCTTGACTCCCAATAAAGACTCTATGACAACAGACACTTGCTCCCTCTCAATGCCAGTGAACCCAGAATATGAGTGGTGAACACTAGTGTTACTATATCCACCACGTACTTTCTAAGTGGTTCCAGTGTCCTACTCTTAACCCCCGCAAAGGACCTGAGCAACACTGTGTGGAATACTCTAGGTGTTTCTTCAAAATTCGTTGGCCAAAAAAGTATACTTTATGCTTGAGCTTCTCTCCAGAACATTGAGTAGCCTGAACCTGGGGTTATTTAAAATTGTTTTCTGTGTTCAGTCGAAACCTAATATGTTGAAGATTATATGAATAGTTCTTCCGTCAAACTGACCAAAAACGCGGTCCAGTGTAACCAGCGCAATGTTTGCTTGGAAAGAATTTTCGTCGCAGTCTGCTTAAGACTTCAAATCGTGGGGTACCAATATTCCTAGATCTTTTTCGATTTGTAATGCCTCTAAGGGAGGAGGTTGCCTAATTTTAGCTGTAGTCTGTAACGCGTCACAAATTGACTACTTTAGACTTTGAAGTGCTAAAGGTAAGTCCGTTGTCATCGGCTCAACTTCAAAATCGAGTCAGATCCTCATGAAGTGCTAGTATATCTATCTCCAGACTTCCACATAATCAGCGAAAGTAATAAATCTGACGATGCCTGTTGTGGAAGATCGTTTATATAAATCAAGAGAAGAAGAGGACTCAGTGCTGAATCTTGTGGAACCCTACTTGGATATTCCATAGCCTGAGAGAAAGCGAAGTCAACCTTGACCTCAAAATGTCGGTGTTTTAGATATGAAGTGGGGCATTCAATTAAAAGTGATTTGATACCCAATCGTTCGAGCTTATTAATAAGCTATATATGGTTGGCTCTATCAAAAGCTTTTGAGAAGTCAAGGTAAACGACATTCCCCGTGAGATCAAGGATGGTTTTCCATCTGTCCACCGCGGTCAGCAGGTTGGTTATCCAAGAGTGACCTATTCTGAAGGGTGAAAAGAAGTTTATGGATGACAAATAGTCGTGTATACTGTCGCATATTAAGGACTCCATGATTTTTGAGAGTATAGAGTAGAGCTACCGGTCGGTAGCTTGAAGGTTCGTTGCGTCGACCTCCTTTGAAAATTGGCGTGATATGAGCTGCTTTCCAATTTTTCGGTAATGTGCCTTGGCTTAGTGAATTTAAGAACAGCACGTTAAGCGTTGTTGCCAAGATTGAAGCTGTTTCCTCCGTATATCAGAATAGACCATATCCAGGTCAGGAGAAGTGTCTTTTTCAGGTGTTGGAGTTTCCGGTACTTCAAGCGCTCAGGTTCACTTCGGAAAGTTCTGTGCAGTTGCAGATGAAGCTTTCGTCAATATACTTAATGTGGGCCAGTTTCGATGTCCTGGAGTACTGTTCGACCAAAAGGTTAGCGGCGTCACCGTCGTCGTTAGTCGGGCCTGACAGTTAGGGAACACCATTCCTCTTATTCTGTTATTGCGAAATAACAACATCCCGGGTATCGTCAGCTCATGTATGTAATTTGAGAAGATACCTATGTTTCATATGGTCCTATCAGACGAGCATTATTATCATTGTTGAGTTCACGCAGCTCGTCCACTTTATTCAATAAACTCACGACGTTAATGTGTAAGCAGTTTATGCTTTCAATTTGAAACGCGTGAGCTTCCCCGTCTTTTGTATCTGTACAAGTTTCATGTGGCCTACCTTTACAGGGTTTTCCGAGTTGGTAGCCCCTGATCTTTCTACGTTTTTTTCATGTTTTTGACAGTCCACAAGTGAAATAGTCAGCTCCAACTTGCTTTTGTGCTTGATCCTGGCATCATCTGGCGTATCCGGATGTATTTGGTATGCAGTCGGCAACCAGCGTCTGTTAGAACGAAATGCTTCGAGAGTTGCAGCCGCCACATGGAAGGATGGGAAGGTTATCCTCACAAGCCGAGGTCTAGAATCCTCGTCCTTCTTGGTTAATCCCACCACTTGTTGAGTCAATATATTTTGGGCTTAAAGGATTGACTGATAATTCATATATCCGAATATCAGGGTTTGTGTGGTCATGGTCAGTGTTTTCTGGTACACCTTGGACAATCATATTTCATCCACGGAAAAACGTCTCGCGAGATTTCGTGGGAATGTTCTGCGCGAGACTGCGCTCGGGATACGGTATATCAGGTAGTATTCTTACATCCAAATCTGATCTGAGTAAATGACTAGCCAGTAAGAAATCCCTTACGTCGGCAGCGTTAGTCAGCGTTACACGAGGTGGACTTGGGTGATTTCGATGCATGGAGTCTTTTCCCGGAGTGAACCGTGTGACCATCTGAGGCTCTTTTTTTGGAATTTTTAGCTTCTTGTTTAATTATTTCCACGGTAACCTGTCATTTTTCTTCTGCAGGCTTAGGGGAAAGTCAGGGCTGAATTTAAAGTTCATGATCATGAGAGAATCATCGCGAACCGTTATTATTTTCACAGGTTTCCGGGCACGTTCAGGTTGAAGACTTTGTTTTATGGTTGGAGCGCGTTTCAGATTCCTATGCTGTTTGCTGAATGTTTGGGCAATCTTGGGGGTAGACTATACGACCAAATCACCAGTTGATTTGACTAGACTGTGACATCTGGTCCATCTTAACTTTGTTGACGGAGTCCAATCGTCTACAGAGCTTTTGGAGACCGCCGTTGCATTCTTGGATCCTGTGCTGGGGGACTTAGGTTTGCTTGGGGAGTCTGCTATCGTCGACGTTATGATGGTACCGAGCTTCAGCTTATCCTCACTAGTGTTGTTGGAGGCTAGCGTTGTCGAAGTCCCTCTTGTCTTCACTGAGTGTCTTTGTGTGCTTATTCGTTTTGAGACTGCGTTTTTCCAGGTCTTCTGACAACTTGATCCACAGCTTTGTCATAAGAATAATGATTTTGCCCAGAAAAACCTCAAGGTTCACGTTACACATGCCACATACCCACCTATGATCCGATTTACTAAGTCTGTTGTAGCTGTGACATCTTTAACGTAATGATGATAACAATGTGATTTTTAAACTTAGATAGCAATCATATTAAGAAGTTTTAGTAGCTGATTAGGTGAGGAAAATAAGTATGTAGTGGTAAGTGAATCCACAAAATCAATAGCTGGCCGGATTAGTTTATTGGACTCACCTAGCTGAACCTCGCCGCTTCTGACTTCCGATTTGATTGAGTTGACCCATATCAGTTGTAAAAGAAATCATTGATTAAAGTGTTGCCAAACTTCAAATACTTTAGGCATATTTAACCGCGTGTGTATCAGTATATTTAGGAACTATAATAATGTGATATGCGAATAGAGAACGAAACGGTAACGAAAAGTTTAATGGTACACTTAAACAGTGGTGCAAATTAGATGAAATTTCTAACTTACGCGAGCAATGAAAAATACTGTTCATAAAATAAACCTATGCCAGTTATCTTTGCAAAGATCTGTTGGTACTGAAGGTAATTACTCTAAGTGTTACTCTACTACAACCTCCATTTTCGATACCTTGTTTTACCGTTGAGCTTCAGAAAGTATATAAAAGCCGCCGTTATCTTCTAGTTTATAAAACGTTCTCGTAAAACGCAGATGCAGATCTTAAGAAATACATTTCGTTAGTTCAGTCAGACCAAGTTTGAGGCTTGAAGGGTAACGGCGCGGTTTGTGAACATCTTCCATACGATGACAGTCGATAATCTTCCCGAGCCTGGATCAAGTATAACAGCTTACTGTTCTGACACTTTCATACAAGGAGATGTACTTTGTGTAGATGCGTCTAAGAAGCTGATCGTTCTGCGTACGTTGCTTGATAATTTGGAGCTGTAATTGATGTTATTGATCTTTTAGAGAAACCCTCAAGTATCGGCAGACCTGATGAGTGTGACATACTTATTCTACGCGCTGATTACCTTAGAGATCTAAAGAGCACTAAAGAGGGGTCTCCACCAGCATGTCCTGAACTAAATATTGAGAAGGTTGGTTTGTTGTAGGATTACTTATGTGCTTTTCAGATAATTGAGCGTATTCGAGTTAACGAACGTATTCAAAAGGAAAAGTTGAAGTTTTATGGCCATGATGTCCCTGTGGACGCTCGTAAACTTGCTGAATACCTGGAAACGTACATTATCAGTCGGCTTCCTAGATATGATTAATTAGTTTTTTCACTGTAGTTTGGGATAAGCCACATATTGTTGTAATGGATCATACAATCATCAGCCCTCCTTATAAGGAAAACAATGTGTCTTGTAATTCAGATACGCAACAAGCCAAATCACAAACAGATTATGTACAGAGGGTGGTACGTTTGTCATTTCTCACGTCACCGCGTCATAGGTTAGTCGGTTTTATCAAGAGCGGGTCACGGATAATAGAAGTGCAAATTGACCTAAATTTCCTTTCGAAAAATATACAGTATCTTCCATCCAGTTGTATTTCATTTTTCTTCTTGGGAATTGGAGTGTGTCAATGTATTTCAAAAGTTAACCATATGTAATGTGTTAGGTGATTACGTTTTCAAGCTACACAGGACTATAAAGTGGACATCTTGTCGAGTGCGAATGCTAGTAAAAGTAGTGGTTATATTGGGTGGTGCAGCTGTATTGAAATAAAACATCGTCTTATAATTCCACATAATTGAAAGTTGTATGATCACCAATTTAATGTTATAAAATACAGCAGCGCAAATAACTAGTATCCAAAGTAAAATTCATTTTGCGGGAAGTATGTCGGGGCCTATCAACTATGTGTCTAACGGTTTTCTGAAATTATGAATAGCTCGTACGAGTTGCATCGGAAGCGTTAGCGTGAAGTAAATGAGTACCTGTAAAACCAATAGTCTCGATAACTAAACTCAGAAACTGCATTCATGTACTTCAAAGTTATATTAAAAGATTAAGAAGTAGAGAGTTAAGCTTGAAACACAGTGCTTGTATTGAGACTGAAGTTAATGGGAACAAAGATGTAGTGTTAGGTGTTCTGTAGGTAAAAGTAGTTTTGGGTTCCTAAAAATATCAATCAGGCATGTTGTGCTACAGGAAAGATGAATGCTTGCAATCCAAGACGCTTTTAAATAATTTACGATAGGAAACCACTTGTTTTTCTTTAACACCGCCTGTAGCTCTTCTAGAGCTACTGCCAGTTCCAAGTCCGGATAAAGTAGGAGGGTTGGGCATGGTTCAGCAACCCCATTCCATAGAAAAACTGCTAAAAAACGCTAACCAGATTAAACTATTTAAACTCTGCCCTGGGAGTTGAAGGGAGAATTATGACGCCCCATGATGAAAGCAGAAGTTACGAGACCGATCTCATTTTTAACAACCAGATCAACAATTAATATAGGCATATGGAATGTCCAGATGATGTAGGAGACCGGAAGGATCAGTCAAACAGCTGTGGACATTCAGAGATACAACTTAGCGGTTCTCAAAATTAGCGAAACACATTGAACTCAAGCTGGACAGCAAAGACTAGATATGGGAGAGGTACTGCTGTACTCCTGTCACAAAGAAGATAATGCTCCACACACTCAGGCATTCATTCTGATGCTGTCCAATTAAGCACGAAATACACTTATAGGATGACAATCTCATGAATCTAGAATCACCAAAGAATCTTCCAAAACAAAGATGAAGGGAATCACAATGAATGTTATTCAGTGTTATGCACCAACCAATGATAGCAACGATAAGTATAAAGATCAGTTTCATGAGGGGCTTCATTTGATCATATCGAAGTGCTCAGAAAGGAACCTGACGATCCTGATAGGAGACCTAAACTCCAAAGTCGGGATGTCATGGGGCGACATGGGATGATAGAAAGGAACGAGAATGGTGAGAGATTCGCAAATCTATGCACATCCAACAAATTGGTTATAGCCGGCTTCAGTAAAAAATTCAGAAGGTCAGTGGGAGAAGTGGGAATTAAGAGAGAAGGTGAAATAGCTTCAGATACCAAGCTTGGTTGTGGCCAAGATGAAACCGAAGCTAAATAAACACTGGATAGCTGGGGAAACAGCATTACAAAGGTTCACCACAGCCTTTCGTCGAGATGCTAACGAATTCAAGATAACTCAACAACAGGTTCCAAGCCTTACAAGATCTACTGAAAGACGAAACTACTACAGAGGACAACTGGAAAGGGATCCAAGAAGCACTAACTTCAACATGCTGAGAGGTTCTGAACCGCAAGAAGCATCATCATAAGGAATGGAAACCCTGGACAAGATTGGAGTAAGTAAGAATAAGAATAGATAAATTCAAGGCACAAATCAGCTTTTATCTGAAGAGGAAGTTAGGAAACGATGTTGGAATTGGATACACTGGTGAGATTATCAAAGTGTATGATGAGGCAAGCGGTTACCTGGTATCGTAAAGGGAAACGAAAGAGAGGAAGGCCAAAGAACATACTTCGTCGGAATTCTGAAGCAGACATGAAAAGGATGAATAACAACTGAAAACAACTAGAGAGGACTGCTCAGGACAGAGGTGAATGGAGAATGCTGGTGAGTGGCCTATGCTCCTCCATGTGGGGTAACAGGTTGTTGTTATTTTCTTTTCTTGATAATTTTAACAGCATCTGTGATGAATAGGCTAATAATAGGTGCACTTGTTAAGTCGAATCTAGTTTACTGAATATATAGGCCTTAATTTATTTCTAGACTGAGGATTTAATTTTAACTAGGCCACAGAGTTTCAATTCATTACATTTCTGGTCCGTTTCAAATTAGTAATTGAACATAAGAAAGATAAGTATTTATGTCTCTCAGTTTGATCATTGTAACATAATGAGTGCATCCTCCATCCATCTGAAGCATGCACACGATCAAATAGAGTTGACTGTGTTTTCAAAATGATCCTATTAGACTTATTATTTATTTATGGTTTATTACAATTATTATAAAAATTTCATTTCATTGTCAAACTTACATATTATGTTGAATAATAATAATAAATAGTAGTAATAATAATGGTATAGTCTATATTCCTTAATTAATTTTCGTAATTATTAATCCGTTTTTGTTTATTTGTCTACTCTACTAATTGTACATGTATTTTTATTCTATTGAAAATATCGTTACAAATCTATTCATTTATTCCCTTCTTATGAATAAATTTGATTGATATGACTTAGTTTTTATTTGGTTATTCGTTTTACATATATTACATAAATTTCTTTATGCTGATATAATAGAGAGAACTGTAAGAATATACCACATAGATTGCGAATAATTATGGGATGTTATTTGTTACAGTTCTGAATTCAGTCACCTCTCGATAATGCACAACCATCCTCCATTTCCTAAGGTGTATAAGTGTTTCACACACGATATGGTTGAACTCTACCAGTTATGACTTCGCACCAGAACCCCCGGATTTGTATTTTGAAGTTATTACCTAGTGGACATATAAATATTTTAAGTAAAGGGGTTTTGTAGAGACTTAAACTATCATAGTTTAAATCACGGATTGATCTTAGTTAAATCACTATTGAAAGCTAAGAAACACTAGATGGTTGTTTCATCCCAGTCTGGAACTCGCTTGCGGTGTCCATCCACGAATCCGTCATCAGGGATCGGATCCAGGACCTCCAGTTTTTAACAAACGTTTTAACTACAGATCACTGAGTCGGAATCCGTCTAACGATCTCCAAAAGACCCCTATACTAATAACAGTCCTATATTTGCAAGTCACTGATTTCAAAATGCGATTCCAGGAGTTCTGGTGAGAATCCGTAACTAGTGGAGTCCAATCATATTGGGTGTGAGATAATTATATATATAGGAAATGGAGGATGGTCGCGTAATACTGCGAAGCGGTTAAAATTAAACATGTAAACCACTGAATTTCGGTTCGGCGATTTAGACCTTAATAGTTCGCTATGGATGTCAAAGGTCCTCGGTTATCGTGCTGTGGGTTCACAATTTTGTTGAGCTCCATACTCGGCTGAAATAGTTATCCAGTGTCTCACTGATTTCATTGGTGATTTAAATAAAGTCATTTCGTGATTTAACCTATCGAAATACTGTATTTTCTTCATCAGCGAACTAAATCACTGTCCATATTTGTTCCATGAAAACTACTTTTAATAAGATTTGATAATTGATTTATGAAATTCTTACGTGTTTGGGTGATCAATATCGCTCGAACTTGCTTTATCACGATCTGACATCAACCACAGAAACGCTGAATTCTCAGAACGTTCAATTTTCACAGTAATTATGACAGTCTTTTGGAACTCTGGTGCACATTCTTAACGTCATTTTATTCGTCATGGAATGTTAGAGCCTCATCTGTTACCATTCGCGAGTCACAGACTTATCACTGACTTGGTTGACTATGTAGATCATCACTTCCTATCGATGGTGTGGCTGGTCACTATTGACGATACGATTACCATTAATTTGAGTCAGTCTTATGCGGATCTACGCGGAGTTTGGAGGTGATTTTAATTCTATTTTGAGTTGAAGGTGTACAGCGTTATGTCGTCTTAATCTTGAATAGAACGTCTGTCAAGTACACATCATTTTAATGTATTATAAAATTTAACTTTGGGAACTTAAACAATAATTTGAATGCAAAATCACTCTTACTCACTGAACAAAATATCAACAATACGATCTAAATTGAATGTAAAACAGTTTTGTTATTGGATTTTATTTGTCTGCTCTCAAAATATTGCTATTAACATGAGGTATTTGGTGGTAGTCTGCAGAGAACCCTGGGGTCCATGTTTTTTACTGGTTGATTGTTGATATGATGCACTTTTAATTGATCCTCTTTGGTGGATTGAACTCACGTCACCCAGATTCACAGTCCATGATGAGTGTTCAAATTTACTGCGGAGTATCATTTCCCTCAAGATCACCAGTACATCTTGTGGTCAAGCCCCAACTAGCATGAAACCTAAGTCCATCGTTGTTTATCGAATACCTCTTACCACCTAACTTCACAATATAGAACACGCGTTGCCGAGTCACTTAGAATTCATAACTTACCTATATATCAATTCTGTAGTTGTGCAGAATTACTTAAGACCAATCGGACTACTACTAATTCTGCTAACGTGTTAAATTACTCAGTAGGTAACCATAATTCAGTTTCATGAACTATCTTTGCTGTATATAAATCTATGTTCTGTTTAATAATCTTTTGGACTCCAAGAAAAACTAATGATAGTTTGTTTTCCTACTTACTGTTCTATAGGGCGAATGTCCTTCCTTAATACAATATCAAATAAGATTATAAATTATGGTTCATTCTAGTTGAACTACTAAATGTCCGGTTAACTGTAGAAATCAACTACTTTTAAGACGTGCTGCAGTTACCATGTATAGTACATAGATGAAAGTACAGTACTAATAAATGATTTTTGCATTATTTACAGCAGATATATTTTTCAAAGTCTTGTAACCGATTTCTTGGAGTTATCAACGCATTTTAGAATCATTTGATTGGAGAAACAACCCAAATTTATGTGTGTGTGTGTGTATAAGCTTAAACTTAACACTGGGTGCTAAATAATTATCCAATAACAATGTCCAACGTTAGATTTCGTACCACGACAATAAAGGGAATATTTTGATCACTAACTAACTTGATAATAGTTCCAGACCACTTATTTCTTTGATGGTTTTGGCTACCAAATTTTATTTAACCAACCCAACTTAACGAAATTTTTCAACTAATTTATATTTAGATCATTCGAGTATCACAAAACCTACACCAATATG